TTTTTTTAAAAAATTTGAACGTATGGCTTGAAAATAGGGAAATTTCCCTAAAATTGTGGCATTATCTTGATTTATTGTTACCATATTTAATGCTTCAGTTACAAACAACTTTTTAAAATAGAATTGTATAAATAATAATAAAAAAATTTATATACAAAATTAAAGATACCTTTAATAACTTAACTATACCCATATTATGTAATTAGGTAAACTATACCCATATAATGTTATTTAATCTAATAAGTTTGCCATATATGAAATTTTCCCAATTTTTTAACCCATAATGTAATAATTATGTTTTCTTTTAGATTGTGCACTAAATTAAATTGGTCATTATACTAAGTAATAAATAATATGTGTGTACTTAGTGCAATATAGTTTGTTAGTCACCAAAGTGGTCAAACTAGAAAATTAATGTTTACACATATAATATTTATGATCACTTGACATATGTGGATTAGTAAAATTCATTATTTATTAGCATATTCAATATTCCAAGAAAGATTGGGTCTAATTTTTCAACATGATGTATGAATTATGTTTTTATAGTTTGTTAGTCACCAAAGTGGCTAAACTAAAATTTTAAAATTATTCACATACACAAAATTTTATGATGTTATGTGTCTTTGTATTTATATAGTTTGTTATACATCAAAGTGACCAAACTAAAGAAATTAATGTCTACACATATCATGTTTATGTTCACTTTATGCATATATTATATTTCTATAGTTTGTTAGTCACCAAAGTGGTCAAACTAAATTGTTTGAAATTATTCACATGCACAAAAATGTATGATGTTATGTGTACTTTGTATTCATATAGTTTTTGGTCACAAAAGAGGTCAAACTAAAGAAAATTAACGTCTACATATATCATGTTTATGATCACTTGATGCATGTATTATGAATCTATAATTAGTTAGTCACCACAGTGGTCAAACTAAAAAGTTTAAAATTATTCACATGCACAAATTTTTATTAGATTCTGTTTGCATTTGTATTCATATATCTTGTTAATCACCAAAGTGGTCAAACTAGAATAGTTAAGAAAAATATGCATTCATAAAATTTTCATTTATCTATGGAAGTTAATTAAATGTCTATATTGAAAAATAAATAGATAAATTGACTTTCACTATTGCTAGAACTTAAAAAAGTTTTACCCAAAGGTGAATCTATCATTCTACAAATAGTGAAAATTATGAGGTAAATTTATATTTTCAATCAAACATATAGTGTACATCCAAAGATGTTGTATATGTTTGGTTAAAAATATTTAATTGTCTATTAAAGATTTATAAAAATGTCACTTAAATTATGATAGTATGTCGTAGTATCTATCCAAAGGAGAATTACGAGGTACTTTTAAAGTTTTACTGAATTCACATTATTTTTTATATGTGAGCATGTATATCTATTTGCAGTTGCTCCTCTTCATTCGCATGCTCCGTCTGTTACTGTGCTCAAAGGATTGAACTTCTCTAAATGGCATGAACAAGTCCACCGCCACTTAGGTGTGATGGATCTTGACTTAGCTCTGCTTAATGAAAAAATCTACTGTCATTAATGATAAGAGCAGTGAGAATGAGAAGTCTTTTCATAAATCATGAAAATGCTCTAACAAATTGAGTCTTATGTTCATGCGAATAAATGTTGCTAACAACATTAAGATAACTATTTCACAAAAAGAAAGTGTCAGGAAATACCTGAAGTTTGTGGGAAAACGTTTTCATTCTGCTGATAAGTGTCTCGCTGGTACACTAATAGTTGAACTAACGATCATGAAGTTTGATGGATCGCGTAGTATGCAAATTCATATCATCGAAATGACTATCATTGCAGCAAGACTTCAGACCTTGGTGATGAAAGTGGATGAAACCTTCTTAGTTAAGTTTATTCTGAACTCATTGGTTGTTGAGTATGGACCGTTTCAAATTAATTATAACACTATTAAGCATAAGGATAAATGGGATGTTAGTGAATTGTTCAGTATGCTTACTCTAGAGAAGTTAAGACTTAAGAAACAAATAGGTCATTCTATTAACCTCATGGGTCCAGGAGTTGGTAAAGAACTTAAAGTGAAAGCCAACAAGTTTAAGAAAAAGAAAGAACCTGCTAAAATTTCACAGGATGCTTATAAGGAACTCAAGGCTGATGTATGTCATTTATGTAAAAAAGAAGGAAACTATCTGAAAGATTGCCTGAAATATAAAGTTTGTTTTGAAAAGAACGGTACGGTTAGTGCCTTTGTATGTTTCGAATCAAATTTAGTAGAAATTTCTAATAATACTTGGTGGCTTGATTCTGGTGCAACTACTCATGTATCCACTATGTAACGGGGATTCACTATGATCCAAACTACGAATCCAAATAAAAAAATCTTATTCATGGGAAAATTGAAGGCATATGGACTTATTGTTGATCTTGGAGACTGAACATCACGTTAATCTATTGCACACTCTTTATGTTTAATTTCTAGGAATTTGATTTCTCTTTCAACACTTGATGTTTCTGGATTTAATTTTAAGTTTGGACATGGTGGTTTCAATTTATATAAGAATATTATTTTTATGGTTCTGGTGTTCTTATTGACAGTTTATATAGATTGAACTAGATAATAATTAGACATAGTTCACTAAAAGAAAGTTTTGCTTATTTGTGGCATAAATATTTGGGTCATGTATCTAAAGAACATTTAAAAAGATTAGTAAAGAATGAAGTTCTTCTGAATTTGAATTTTGCTGATCTTGAAATGTTTGCATTGAGATAAAGAAAAGCAAACCAAACATACCAAGAAAGGTGCCACAAGGAGCACTCAGATTCTTGAAATAATACACACTGATATTTACGGATCCTATGGTATTCTATCTTTATGTGGAGAAAAATATTTATTACCTTTCTCGATGATTTTTCACGTTATAAATTTTTCTATTTGTTGAAAGAAAAATCTCAAGTAGCGGACACCTTCAAAGTGTACATTAATGAGGTTGAAAGACAATTAGATAGAAAAGTGAAAATCATTAGGTCAGATAGACATGGTGAATATTATGGACATTGTAACGAATCATAACAATGTCTAAGTCCATTTGCAAAATTCCTTGAGAATGGTGAAGTTGGTGGGAGAGTTGAACGACAAAGTATGGAAATTAATGAGGTAAGGGTAAATATTTCATTGCACATGAATGAACCTACTTCCGCGCCAATCACAAATGTTGTTCCTCTTGTTGAAGAATACTTTAACAATGTTGAATAATATTTGGGTGAAACACTTCAAAAAGGAACAAACTCACAAGTATCTGACGCAAATGAACCACAAACAATGTCATAAAGAAAATCAGTCATTATGCGATTTACTTGCAAGAGTAAGATTTTTTCATTGAAATTAATAAAGATTTGATTTCATTTTCACAAGTCACAAAAACAATGAGTCTCATAAATGGATTGATGCCATGAATGAAGAGTTAAAATCCATGAAATACAACAAAGTCTTGGATCTCGTTCAATTATCAGAAAGTACTAACATAAGTGAGTGTAGATGGGTCTTCAAGACCAAACACAATTCAAATGGTAATATTGAACGATATAAATCCAGGCTTGTTGCCAAGGAACATGCTCAAAAATGAGGCTTTTTTTATAAAGAGACCTTTTCACGGTCTCAAAGAAAGACTTTAAGAATTGTTTTGGCTTTGGTAGCTCATTATGATTTAGAGTTACATCAAATGGATGTGAAAACTGTCTTTCTTAATGTAGACCTCGAATGAGGATGTTTATATGGACCAACCAAGGGGTTTCGAAATTAAAGGAAAAGATCAAATAGTATGTAAACTAAAGAAGTCAACATATGAACTCAAACACGCCTCACGAAAATGGTATATAAATTTTAATGATATCATAACATCTTTTGGATTTAAGGAAAATACCATTGATTCGTGTATATATCAAAAGATCAGTGGGAGTAAGTTTACATTTTTAATCATGTATGTGTTGATGACATTTTACTTGTTGCTTATTATTTAGGCATAATTGCGTGAGACAATTAATTTTCTTTGTATGAACTTTGAAATGAAAGATCTGGGTGAGACATCCTATGTGATAGGGATAGAAATAATCCATGGTAGTAGGGATAGAATTATTCCATGATAGATCACAAGAATTATTGGGACTGTCTTAAAATGGCTAAATCAAAAAAGTTCTAGAGAGATTTAACGTGAACAACTGTTTAGCAAGAATAATTCCTATTTTTTTAAAAAATAGACAAATTTAATCTCATGTTATACCCAAAGAATGATGTAGAACGAAAGAAAATGGTCTCAATCCCTTAATCTTCTATTTTTGGAAGTTTGATGTATGTTCAAACTTGCACAAGACAGTATATTAGCTTTGTGGTCGAAATGCTAGGAAGATATCAAAGTATCATTGGAATTGATTACAGACAAATTGTAAAGAAAGTTTATGGCACGTTATGAAGCCATCTTTCATACATTATGGTTGCGAAACTTTATTTTAGGACTTGGGGTTGTCGACACCATTACCAAGTCGCTGAAAATTTTATTGTAATAATTCTGCAACAGTAAATTTTTTCAAGAATGATAAATACTCCAAATGTGCCAAACATATGAAATTAAAGTACTTTATTGTCAAGGAAGTTATTCGGATTCAAAGAATGTTACTTAAGAATATTAGATTTGTCTCATGATTGGAGATTTGTTAACAAAAAGGCTTACAACCAAAGACATTTAAAGAACATGTTCAAAGAATGGGTCTTGGTTGTACTTATGATTGATACATTTATGATGGTTTACACACTAAGCTCAA